GGGTTAAACATACCACTACATGGTAAGTGAGTTTGTTTTCTGCAACCAAAGGTTAGACATACCACTATATGGTTAGTGAATTTGTTTTCTGCAACCAAAGGTTAAACATACCACGATATGGTTAATGAATTTGTTTTCTGCAACCAAGGGTTAAACATACCACTACATGGTAAGTGAGTTTGTTTTCTGCAACTAAAGGTTAGACACACCACTATATGGTTAGTAAATTTGTTTTCTGCAACTAAAGGTTAAACATACCACTATATGGTTAGTAGATTTGTTTTCTGCAACCAAAGGTTAAACACACCACTATATGGTTAGTAAATTTGTTTTCTGCAACTAAAGGTTAAACATACCACTATATGGTTAGTAGATTTGTTTTCTGCAACCAAAGGTTAAACATACCACTATATGGTTAGTGAATTTGTTTTCTGCAACCAAAGGTTAAACATACCACTATATGGTTAGTGAATTTGTTTTCTGCAACCAAAGGTTAAACATACCACGATATGGTTAATGAATTTGTTTTCTGCAACCAAGGGTTAAACATACCACTACATGGTAAGTGAGTTTGTTTTCTGCAACTAAAGGTTAGACACACCACTATATGGTTAGTAAATTTGTTTTCTGCAACCAAGGGTTAAACATTGCACTATATGGTTAGTAAATTTGTTTTCTGCAACCAAGGGTTAAACATACCACTATATGGTTAGTGAATTTGTTTTCTGCAACCAAAGGTTAAACATACCACGATATGGTTAATGAATTTGTTTTCTGCAACCAAGGGTTAAACATACCACTACATGGTAAGTGAGTTTGTTTTCTGCAACCAAAGGTTAAACATTGCACTATATGGTTAATGAATTTGTTTTCTGCAACCAAAGGTTAAACATTGCACTATATGGTTAGTAAATTTGTTTTCTGCAACCAAGGGTTAAACATTGCACTATATGGTTAGTAAATTTGTTTTCTGCAACCAAAGGTTCAACATTGCACTATATGGTTAGTGAATTTGTTTTCTGCAACCAAGGGTTAAACATTGCACTATATGGTTAGTAAATTTGTTTTCTGCAACCAAAGGTTAAACATTGCACTATATGGTTAGTGAATTTGTTTTCTGCAACCAAGGGTTAAACATACTACTATATGGTTAGTGAATTTGTTTTCTGTAACCAAGGGTTAAACATACCACTATACGGTTAGTGAATTTGTTTTCTGCAACCAAGGGTTAAACATACCACTATACGGTTAGTGAATTTGTTTTCTGCAACCAAAGGTTAAACATACTACTATATGGTTAGTGAATTTGTTTTCTACAACCAAGGGTTAAACATTGCACTACATGGTTAGTGAATTTGTTTTCTGCAACCAAAGGTTAAACATACTACTATATGGTTAGTGAATTTGTTTTCTGCAACCAAGGGTTAAACATTGCACTATATGGTTAGTGAATTTGTTTTCTGCAACCAAAGGTTAAACATACTACTATATGGTTAGTGAATTTGTTTTCTGCAACCAAAGGTTAAACATTGCACTATATGGTTAGTGAATTTGTTTTCTGCAACCAAGGGTTAGACATTGCACTATATGGTTAGTGAATTTGTTTTCTGCAACCAAAGGTTAAACATTGCACTATATGTTGAGTATATTTGTGCAGTGTCCTCCATAGACCATTTCAAACAATACATGTAGATGCATGTTTCTTGAATATTAATGAGCAATATGTTTGTACAAGTGCTTTTTCATTATTCATTCTCTGTTTCATTTTAAAACAGTAGCATATTTGTATTCCCATGATAAAAATGTTTTCTTTTATTTGAAAAAAAAAATAGTTTCATTACGTTCAATGAATACAAAATATTATATTAAAATATTATTGATCCTAGCATACATTATACAATATTATATAGAATGACAAGAATTGTTATTGTCAATATCACGATAAAATGTGAAAAAAATGTTACATTCATGACCCTCAAATTTATAACTTTAAATTACATTGATTCATGGTGCACAATTAGAACACATTGTACAGATACAAAATACATAAAAATATAAAAAAACAACAAAGAAAAATACAAGTTACTTATCTTTCATTTGTTATTATATACAGATCAATTCTATTTATACAATGCTTATTATAGAATGTGTCATGGTCTGACTGCTACTAATATGATACTCAATACTAGTTATTAATTATATAGCTGTATTTCATATTAAAGAATGCATATACTTATTTAATAAATTATAAACTTCTTGTCATAGGCACAAAGCTACCAATTACACTGCATACATATTCTGTATGATTTTGATTTCATCAGGGCATGTTTATTTCTATTCATATCATATATGTGATCAGACTATAATAAACATCTGCTACACAGCAGCAGCATTTTCATACATTCTACATAAGTCAAAGGTCACTCATTTGTAAACACCAGCAGGGTATAATAAGTGTCAAATAATATGTGCACAGGCTGTAAGGCAAACTCCTACTAGTAAATATATAAAGCCTGAATAATTAAATTACTGCGTGCCAATCACTGGACAGTGATGGGTTATTGTGTATGAATATATTTGTCATTAGACAAATCATGATAGAGATACAAGGCCCAGAAATATATTCAGGAGTTTGGTCAGTTTATAAATCACAGCTGATTTGGTCATGTTTTTCAGAAGTAAAGTAAGTTTTCATCATTAATAGAAGCACAATTTTTATAATTTAAAATTTATATATAAACATATTTTTCAGATTTCCCTAACCATAATATATTAATAGTACATACAATGGTTATATAGTTTGACAAGACTATGGAGCACTTAAACTTGGATTGTTACTGATCAGAAATAATTATAAATAAATCAGAACACATTGAGTGTGCCATAAAAAAACAGACGTATATACAGTTTGGTAGGTCAATAAAATTTGCCCACAGATCTGTTCTTGTGCTGACCTATCATTTTGGGCTACAAAAAGGACATATTGGGCATGATACATTGCAGTCATGGCAAACTGAGATTGTGGTTGATATGGATAGGTATTAAAATAACAATGTTACCATGAAAATGGGAGCATCAAAGTTATAAGATGTATGTTACATTGTTTGTAGAAATTAGGATTCTGAACGTAATGATACCTGAGGCGTAAGTTGAATAGTGGATTAATTGTAATACTACACATTTTAGTTTCTACATATTAAGTTATTTCATCCTCTATTGTATTGTTGTGGTTTACAATGATTGATTTCATACAATGTGCATAAATCTGTCAACCATGTTATTTTATTTCAGATCTATAATGTACATTATTTACATCAACAATTTATATGAGTTTAAGACTTGTAAGGAGAAGCTGAAGGTGACGCTCTAGAGCTACTTACGTAACTCATTATTGCTGACTGTAACATATTAACACGTTGCGCTTCGTCTTCACGTATTCTAGCCATCTCCGCTTCCTTCATTCTCAACTTCTCAGATAACACTGACAGCTCGGATTCACGAGCTGCCAGAGTCTCTCTGTGTTGTTTAGATTGTTCCAGCATCTGCTTTTCAAGTCTCGTGCATTTTTCGCGAAGATCTTCCACTTCTTGGAGGTCAGATTCCATTCGACTTATCTGTTTCTGGTAGTTCAACTTTACTTTATTTACTTCTGCTATAGTTTCATTACTTTTTCCGGATAATTCCTGAAATAATAGAAAAATTGAATTAGACAGTAAAACATAATGATACACAAAAAATATACCAGGGTAACTGTGATACAGGATATTCATACATACACATTAAGAAAATATTAATTTTGAGACATATTTAAGTATTTAAAGACAGTTTAATATTCAACTGTAAATTCACCTGAATGCTTGCTGCAACAATAAATTGTTTACACTGTTTCCAAGTAATGATACTAATAAGTTTAGTAATCAAAAGCAAGACATCACATCCATCAAGCACATCACATTCATCAAGAATGCATCACATTGCAGAACAATGCATCACGTTCATCTAGAACAATGCATCATATTCATCTAGAACACATCACATTGCAGAACAATGCATCACGTTCATCTAGAATAATGCATCATATTCATCTAGAAAGTATCATATTCATCTAGAAATTATCATATTCATCTAGAACGCATCATATTCATCTAGAACACATCACATTCATCCAGAACAACACATCATATTCATCTAGAACAATGCATCATATTCATCTAGAACAACACATATTCATCTAGAACAACGCATCACATTGCAGAACAATGGATCACATTCATCTAGAACAACGCATCACATTGCAGAACAATGCATCACGTTCATCTAGAATAATGCATCATATTCATCTAGAACATGTCATATTCATCTAGAAAGTATCATATTCATCTAGAACGCATCATATTCATCTAGAACACATCACATTCATCCAGAACAACGCATCATATTCATCTAGAACAATGCATCATATTCATCTAGAACAACGCATCACATTGCAGAACAATGGATCACATTCATCTAGAACAATGCATCATATTCATCTAGAACAATGCATCACATTCATCTAGAACAACACATATTCATCTAGAAAGTATCATATTCATCTAGAACACATCATATTCATCCAGAACAATGCATCATATTCATCTAGAACAATGCATCATATTCATCTAGAACAATGCATCATATTCATCTAGAACAACGCATCACATTGCAGAACAATGGATCACATTCATCTAGAACAACGCATATTCATCCAGAACAATGGATCACATTCATCCAGAAAAATGCATCATATTCATTTAGAACACATCACATTCATCCAGAACAACGCATCATATTCATCTAGAACAACACATGATGAGAAAGAATTGGTGATTCAATATGCAAGCTTTTTGATATTTGTTCTCTAATCGATGACATTATACTGATAACGAAAAGATTTATGAATTTCTAAAAAGTTATATCTTTAAGGTTTTATTTACCAAATTCAAGTCCTCCAGCTTCCTTTTCAATGACTCAACCTCAAGAGTAGCATTGCTGTATTTGGATTGGAACTCTGCAACCACCTGACTTTGTTGTGAATTGTGCTGTTGTAGGTCATCTTTTGCATTCTGTAGCATTCGGATCTTGTCTTCTAAGTGTTTACTTCTTTGTAGCTATAAATTTAACATATGGATGGTGTTATTTTAAAATTATTTATCATCTTCAGGGTAATGGCAATAAATAATATAAAACAAACTAAGTGAAATATCGAAAACAATACAGGCAAATATAAAAAAGGGAATGATTCAATTATAAAACATAAAATTGTGTACCTCCTCTTCTTTGACTCTCTGCTTGGTTTGTAATAAATTTTCTTCATGTCCCATCCTTTCCGATAATTGAATTGCTTTTATTCTGCTCACTTCCTCTTCTAGGTTTAATCTGTGATGTTCCAATTTCTGTATCCTGTCTTTTAAGGCTTTTTCAGTGTCCTCTGCATCCTCTCTCACTCTCTGTAGCTCTTTCTCATGTTTCTGCTGAGCTTCTCGAAGGGCCTCCTTCGACTTCTGCTTCTCAACACTTATTTTCTCTACAATAACAATAATAATATGCAATGAAATAACAAGTAGTCATAGGACTGAATGCACAAATATAATTTATAGAATAGTAATAATTGCTAATAAACATAGTTTGTTATTTGTGAATATAATATACTCAAATTAAAATTGAAAACAGATGATAATTAAAATGTAAACACAGATGAATCACTCTCCTACAATATTTTGCTATTGATTCAACATGATTATCATTTATAAAACAATTCAAATTTTCAGCACATTCAATTGTTGGCGATTGCTTCTACTTTAAATTTGATTGTTTGAATTTCATATACTGATTTGTTTGAAAAGTGTTCTATGTACATTCAAAAAGATTCACTTTTGTAACAAATTACTGTGGCCAGGATTATAATGAATTTAGACAAACCTTCAAATATTTCCAGTTCTTATCAACCCTTATTCTTATCATCAAGTATTTTACATAATACTGGTGGTCTTAATTATGTTATATAAATGATTTCAGAGTAAAATTTTAAGAAATAACAGGTTTCACCTTTGTCAAATTAACTTTCGAACAAGTTTTTAATAACTTTTACTCACCATCTGCTTGAGTGGCTTTTACTTTCATCTCAGCATTTTTTTCAGTAATATCTTCTTTTAATTCATATATCTGTTCTTGTTGCTGTTGACACTTTCGTTCCAATTCATCGACTCTATTTTCCAATTTCATGTTTCTGTCTTGAGTATCTGATAGCTCTTTTATTAGCTTGTTTTCAGATGAGTGTTTTTCCTGTAAGAGTATACACATGTATTCTTTGAATGCAGTAATTTTTTTCATCAAAATGTTGACGCCGTGGAATGTGCTGTCAATTTGATAATACAGTAAAATATATGAACCATATTTGGCAACATATATACTGTGAGGTCTAACATAATTTTGTTATTTATCACTATGCACGTTTAAAAACTAAACCAATTCTTACAACTGTGATCACTGATCAACTAGTTTTTTTAATGTACTTGACATGTTCTAACTGGCATTCCACGGCCGACTGAGAATGAGTAATTAAAAAAGAAAAGAAGCAGTTAATGGAGGTTGATAATTGAACTATTAAATCATAATGTCAATCTCTAACCCAACATCATGTTTAGAAATCCTAGCTCAACCGGTCACTGTAGCCTAGTGGTTGTTGCATCAGACTCATAGCCGGTAGATCCAAGTTCAAATCCTATTTGGGCTGAACATCTAAGGGGTCGACCCCTACTCTGGGTGAGTGTGCTACAGACTCAATGGGAAGGCCAATTCCACAGGCTGAGATTCATTCACTAACGAATGTGACTTTGGGGGAACCTCGGTTATGATCCGGAGGTGCTTGTGTTCGACCGAGCCTGGTTGATGCCAGGATAATGCATTAAATGCGTAAATAATTCATTTGGTTCATTGCGATAACCCACAGACATGATTAGTTTAATGTTGATAAAAATGCATAATGATTATCTATTATTAGCCCATTTCTGATATCTAAAAAAAAAACAGAGTTTAATAGAATGAATTCATTACAGAGGTGTTCTGGAATTAGACTGAAAACCATGGATGAAGATTCAAATGTATTTTCTGTATGTATATAAATTTTGATACTGTGAATCACTTTTGTTTTCAAGTTGTGCATCTCAAATTGCAGACAAATATTAGTTGCCAAGCTTCCCATTTGAAAAGCAAATCTTAAATATTGAATTAATTTCAATGTGTCTCCAATACTTTCAGGACATAGGAGTTCTTTCTAAGCTTTCTTTGATCTGTTTTCACTTGTCTCAGTTACGTTACTGTACTAAACATAATAAGATTACTTGGCAACATACTTTTAAAGTGGTAAAATTATGTCAATGAACAAATGTGAAAACAGCAGATTATATATTTTAAGTGAACACCATCATATAGCTCAGAATATAGTGTGAGAACCCATAATGTGTGTACTAGTACAAGACAAATATCCATAAAAATATTACAATTCATTTTACAACAGTTTTAATTAAGTATGGTTTTATTGAAGACTACTTTACATGACTACCAGCAGATTTGCAGTAAATAGTGTGTTAAAATGTATGGATGTTTATAATTACTTATGCAAAAAGAGCATTATACAATAGAAATTCTGTCGTTGCATATCCCTCTTCTCTAAGATCTATGATTAGATACCATAGTTATTAAAGGAAGGGATTAAGTCAGCTATAAGGGATGAAAGTGTGCAAAATGAAACCATATCAAAATGCAGCGACTGCAGCCATTATTGTACTCACATCTCTTTCTAATCTGAGTTCCTCTTGGTGCTTTACCACCATCTCTGAATTATCTTGTCTTACCCTTTCCACCAAGTCAGCCAACTCTCTGGCTTTTTGTTCTGCTAGGGCATTAGATGCTTCTGTCATAGACAATCTGAAAAAGTGAGATTATAATAATATAATAATTACTTTTAAGTTGACTATGGGCCAAATTAACATAATTTTTCATTGCCTACAAATCTTGATTAAAATCTTAAAAATTCAAAAATTGACTTGGTGCTCAAAGGTAAAAGTTGAATAATAAAAACAACACGTTTTACAAGGATTTCAAAAAGTATTCACTCAGCCCGTGTGGAATATGATATTATGAGGTTATTACGAGAACACTGAAATCGTATCGACTGACACAAAGCGGAGGGCAATGCTTTTCAGTATTGCCTAAGTGCATACTTTGCAGTATTCTCGTCATAACCTTATTATTATATTACTCGCTTTCAATAATAATTTAATGAAAGATAACAATCCAAAACATCGTGCACTGTCCATGGAATTCTACTTCTTTTATAACGTGGTATAGTGTTTCTGTGTTAATGTAAACCAAAGAAAATGTTTAAATGTGACATACACGTGATGCACAATTTCCAAAGAAAATGCGTTCACTTTCGAACATGTCTGTACAGTATTTCCAGACTGATGAATTCTATTGTTTTCGGTGTCTGATGTATATTAATGTGGGTATATTTTCAAAATAATCTATATTTCTTACTTTGCAGCTATTGACTTAAAAGCTGTTTTTCTTTCCTCCAATGCTTCCTGTAATTGTCCAATCCGGTATGACGTATTCCTATTTGACCTACCCATGGAGTCTTGCTGATGATCAAGTCTATCCATTAAGTCGGAAACCTAACAATAAACATGTGCATATGGTGTCAGTTTAAATTACACCTTATCCAGGGTTTGTTCAAAGTGGCACCTGCTAGGAATAAGATTATTCTTATATCGTACAAAATTGTATAATCCACACATAAAGCAATTTGAGATTTTGAATCAAATCACCAAATAAAACATCAAGTTTAGTCATGTCAAGAAATTATGAAGAACAGACAGATGAACTCACGCCCAACACAACCCAAAACAAAGCCCCTGTTTTAGATTTTGTCCGCCACTTGGTAAAAAGATTTGCCCGTCTGTTTTCACCATACATGTGTATTTGTCTGAACTACTTGTCACATTCATCATTACAACACTAGAATCATTCTTATAACGAACCATTTAAATACCACACAGCCAGCAATGCAAAAAACATTAGTCATAGTGATTTTAGGGATGACATTTTAATAACTTGAATGCAAAATGGTAAATTTCTTGTTTTGGGTACTAGATGCGTAATAATATTTTATATTCTGAAAACCCATCTATGTATGGTTATGAATGTACAATTCAAAGAAGTAAGTCACATAAATAGAAGAACTATTACAATACCTGTTGTCTCTTCTCATTTTTTAGCTGTCTGATTTCTCTGCTGAGTATTTCTTGCCGTGTCTTATGTTGATTAGTAACTGATTCTCTGTCTTCGTTGCTAGCTAGGGCCACCTCTAAAAAAAAAAAGAAAACATTCATTATGATATGCATAAAATCCAGAAATCAGTATATGATTTTTTTTCAATTCAGCGACATGCAGAAAAAAGACATACAGTTGCTTTGTACATGTATTAACATTAATGATTCCATGAATGAAATAGTTATTTTAAGAGTTTTTGTCTCTAAAGGTATAAAGTTAAAGACTTGTATGCCCTTACAGTGGTATGTCTTGTACTGAAGCAAGCTGTAACCAAGAATATGACTATCACAACATCTAATACTTTACCTATTGCTTTGACAATATCCTGTGGTATATTATTACCAGCCATATCAATTCTTGTTAATGATCTATTATGCTGCAGTGATGTAAGAAGTGCTCTGCCACCCAATAATCCACAGTTGTTCCATCTCAAATCTGAATACAAAATGCAATGAGTGATTAAACCTTGGCTTAATATTTAAACAAATTGTCTAGAAAGATAAAAACACAGGTGATCAGCATCTATATATACAAGATTTTATTCCACAAATATACAGCTTATAAAATGAAAAGTAAAAAAAAAAAATCAAATTACAATTTAAAATTGTAAGTTAAATTTACGTCGGACCATTGGGTAGCTTATTGGTAACCCCATACAAACCATTGCAATGGTTGAGTACAAACAATAATGTATGCACATGAGATAAAATTGGTTTCTAGGTGTAGACGACAAGTCTGATCCATAGGTTAGAAATGATGCTTTGGTTAAAATAGGTACGTACCTATATGTTTGAGAGTTGTATTCCTTTGCAAAGCTACTCCAAGTTCACCGGCAGAGTCATGGCCTATCTGATTATTCCTCAAATCCAGTAATTCCAGGGTATTATTAGAAGCAATGCCTTCAGCAAATGCTGCAAAGGAGTTCTCCCACATTCCCAGAGAGTTCCATTCTAAAACCAAACTATATTTCAAGAATTTAAGAAAAATTGAATTATTATTATTTCCAGGACCTTGCAAGATCTCACTTGATTAGAAAATGAACATACCACATGTCATATTGCTATGATTTTCAAAGTAAAAAACGAAAATATTTACTAGTTAGTTGTTTAAAATTTCGTTATATTTATAATATAAAATGATTCAGTGAAAATAAAATCCAGCGAAAATACCTTTTTTTCTATATTGTACATTCAACTCATCAAAAATTACAAAAAATCCAAAAAGTCTTTTAAGTGAAAAGTATTTTATTCAAACAAGTTGAAGTCAAGGTTGATTTTCAAAGAAATGTTATTTGTAGAAAGTCTGTAGTAGTTATAGTACTCTCCCACCTATAATTTTTTTATAAATATTTCTAAAACTCAGGAACTTAACAATGACTATGGCAGAAATATACAAAGAAATATAAATATCTGCAGATAACTTCACTTATGTGATAACTGAAAACAAAAAACAATAGCAAACATTTCCCATATACATCATATTGGAATTTTTACTAATTCATCTTGAGATATTTAAAAAATTTAAAAAAAACATCTCAAATCTTCACTACATTTACTAATGACAGAAAAAGCAGTATGACATGATAGTATGGTTATATCATGGACCTAGCGGTATGTTTATAGGTCCATGATAATATCAAGAAAGCAATGGGCGCTGCAGACTCATTTTAAAACACGAGTATTTCAGCACTCAGAGGCAACAATTCATATGTGTAGGGTATGTAATAGTGCTATTTCCTGCCAGAATTGCTGGTTCATAAGTAAATGAAGTTATGAGTGTAGAATCACTGTATTTTACCTTTTCAGGGTATGATTATGTCGCATCATTTTACCGAGTGCTTCTGCTCCTGCACCACGTATGTTATTTCCTTTCAAATCCAATGTTTTTGTTGCGACATTCGATGACATACCATAAGCCAATAATTTTACCCCTGGGGAAAAATGATATAATTACATACATATTATGTCTTCTTTGATACAATCATAATACAAATGTAATTGATTGTGTAGATTTATTTTTAGTCCATAGGTTTTACAAATGAAATTAATACATGTATTATAATTATACGACAGCTGTTGAAAGATTAATCAATCACTAGCACGATGATCATTTACAAAAATAACAAAAATATACTCGCTTAAATAAGCAAGTATATTGTTCAGTAATTAGGGGTTAATTTTAGACATATACTGGTACATATAACTTATTCATATAATTTTATGTTGTCTTTTTAAATTGAAATTTGCACATCTAAGGACAAATAATATACTCTTGTAATTTTGAATAATATTGCAATAAATTTAATACCGTACTTGTAGATGGAATAAATCTTATTCACAGGGATATGTACCTTCATCTCCAATCATACAATCTGCCAATTTGACTTCGACAAAGAGTCTGTCAGCAGACAAGGCTTTTCCCAACACAGCACAGGTCTCTGTAGATAAACTTGTTGTAGATAGGTCCAACCGTGATCTTGTTGACCCGGGACTGTGCTTGCAGCTCCGTAACAACTCAACAACTGAGTCTTGCGGCTCTACATGATTGTCCTTACACAAGCGCAGATACGTTGCCTTGAATTCATCCATTCTAAAATAGTGACCAAAGAAAGGAAATTAAATATATAATTATTCATTTGATGCACATAATGTAATCAATAGTGCCATGAATAATCTGAGCTACCATCGTACATCATACCAATGTAAAATTGAAACTCATGAGTACCTACCATGATTCAATGATGAACTTAGCCCCAGCCCATCCCAATCACTAACATTTCATTTCCCGAAATATCAATCAATCAGATGGCAAAATAAAAAATTGGGCAAAAAAAAATAATATCAATCAATAAATTATTTTTAAACAGCAATAACAGCTTTCAGTAGTAACAAATCATTTCCCACAAGCACAAAACACAGTATTATTAAAAATCTGCTGTTTTGAAAAATGAAAACGAGCCTTTCCTAATCAGTATTAAATTTAATATTAAAATAAGAATGTAAATCATCAAAAATGATTAGTTTCAACAGCTGGCATGAAGCTCTCACTGTTTAACAGAACAGAACTGCAAAGTAAGTAATTGTGCAACCATTGTCATTGATTATTATTTTTGCAAATGAACAAGAAAAACAACTATACCTCAAATAAGAGGATTTTAATTTATTTTTGACATTCATCAAACCGAAATATATTAGTAGACAATCCTAAAAACAAAACATTCAAATTGCAGAAAATTACAGTAGTATATGTACAAATATATATTTTTAATTCAAATGAGAAACTTAGGCAAAAATACATGCATGGCAATATTGAACTTCAATCTACAGTCTAATTAAAAATAAAATTTTAAACAAATTTGACACTTCAAATATTTAAGTATCATACAGGGTATACATAGAGTAAAAATAATTTGAATAAAAAAACGAGTAAAATTTACCTAGATAAATTTAGAGTGACAATTTACCAACAAGAATGACAGAAAGTTATCAGAGAGTTTACAGTGACCTAAATAGACCACTGTGTACACTGTACACACTGTGAGTGAAATAATGGCAGACCCACCCATCATATAGCACAGAATTACAGCTATAAATTATCTCTATAGCAACAATTCAACTAATATGCCAAGCTACTTGTAAATGTATAACACTGGCACTAAATAAAACTGAAATTGCACTAAGTATGATATAATTACTAGGTTACTCCATATCAAGTTATTAACATTGCATGGCAACATATTTGGCAATTTATAAATAGTGCAGAAACATAAGTAAACGTATTTACGAGGCATGCCATTACCTCAAAAAGCACATCCTAACCCACACCCTAAGGATTAACTGGGTTTAATAGGATAAATGTAAATATCTATAACTAGCGCTATTTGGTAAAATGTACATAACAACCATCTCGTGTGCGTTAGTACACTCGTTATTATGCACGGCCGAGATCGGTAGCGAATTCCTGACTAACCAATTCAATCTGAATCATGGAAGCTCTGTTTTAGCTCAATGATTCAGTCAACCAAATCCGCAAAGGGTTTATATATATTATAATTGTTTAAACACAACTGACGCTTGTATACTGTAAGTTGTACCCCGGGGTCCATGGTTGGTTAATTTGGCTGAAGTGCAATGACATTGACAACGATTGTGGACGTGGATCTAAACACTCGGTGATTAAACCAAGGCTTACAGTAAATGATACAATATTTTATACTCACGGACAGTCAAAAAAAATAATTACTCACTCAAAACATACACCGTTAAACTTAGAAGTGTAACTGATAATTCGGTATTTGGCTTGTCGACGTGCAAGTTTCGACAGGTCACTTCATAATAACGTTCAGAATACCACAACTTCAACGCAATAGGTGTCACGCGATCGGTTTCGGACGCTTACAAACTCCATATATGGTAAACAACACTTGTACTATTCTATAAACGCAATCACTTACCTGTCACGATCACGAAATCACGGTAATAACATGAGATCTTAGTTGGTTGAAGCTTACTGCTCGCAACTCAGGGCTTGTTGTCGTTCGGAAGCGGACGCCATAATTCCAATTTCAAGATGCGCGCGCAGCTCGCACAGTCTCATTGAAAATCTCGCGAGTAAGTGCGAGAAATCGCACGACTGGCCGGAAATTTCGTTTCCTTGCGCGATAGCTTATCAAATTTATAACAACAGCAAATACCATTAAAAAAACACCTAATGGGTCATTAATATTCCTTTACGGGGTACAGTCACTTCGCCCGAAATCCACTTCGTCCGAACTCCTTCGTCTGATTACCAGTTCGCCCAGTTACCGACAGGCAATGGGACAGGTATGCATCGGCCATCATACACAGATTTTTCACTTGTTTCACCATCGGTGTTTGAATAAAATACTTTCACAGTGGTGTCGTTGGCAGAATAATTTCAATCCGCGCATTTTATGCAAAGATGGTCACATTGACGGAACCTTTGTACGCCCTCCGGTGTTGGGAACTTGGAACACTAAGTAGTACCTAAAGCCACCGTGTTGAGGGACGGTGCTAAAGCCAACCTCGGCGTTTATCAATCTAATAAAACTCGCAAATCACGACGTCGTTACCGTATTTTTAAAGTTTTAAATACAATTTATATAGTGGTTAATGTTAAATGGTTAATGTTAAATGTAACTGGGAATTACCAATATTCAATAATTTGCAACATTTTGTACTTTGAATTATGACGACGAGGCCATCGACTGTACGATGAAAAGTTATTTTATCCGAATAATAAAACAGGTTTTATAATTGAAAGTGAGCTTATAACAGAGAGCATGAACACGCTTGTGGCACGACGAATATCAATAGTACATTCATTGTCATT